GATTTCGCCGTCCGGACCCTGTTATGTTTGAAGGAAACGTCGCGGAGAGCTGGCGGATCTTTGAGAGGGAATATGAAATCTTCATCGCCGCAGCGCACCCAGACAAGGCTGCCAGGACTAAGGCTTACATTCTCCTCAATCTTGCTGGACCAGAAGCCATTGAACGTGAACGATCCTTTATGTATGCAGCTGAAGTGCGCGCGCCAGGCCCCGACGGTGCAGTGATCTCCCCAGCTGAATCAAGGGAGGACCCGGACTGTTTGATACGGAAATTCAGAGAAATATGCAACCCTCAACATAACAAAATAATGGAAAGGCACAGGTTTCATTCAAGAAATCAGAAGCAAGGTGAGAGCATTGAGTCATTCATCAGTGATCTGAAGATAAAAGCTAAAAGTTGCCNTGGCAACCAAAGGCCAAGAAGTGGTTGACATTTTTTCTGAATGGTTGCCAATTGCAACCTGGCAACCGTTACGGCCCCTACACACAGCGGTGTGCGTTGTCGCTTGCCGACGGGCATATCTGAAGCTAGACCAACAACCAATCACCTGAATCTCCCGCCCCGGACACACAAGCAGCGGTTTGATTGGCTAGAGCTTGTACTGGCATATGATTCGATTGGCTGACGCTTCCGTCGAAGCTTCAAAAGTAGAACATTGCTCTACTTTTGTAGCGAGCACCGTGAGAAAAGCTACGCTTTGCTCCCACAATGCAGTTCGGCGAGGCGTGACGTCACCCCATTCAAAGTGAATGGGCGGAAGCGTTGAAGTGTCAACGCACGCCACCGTGTGTAGGGGCCTGTTGAGCCGTGGCCCTGAAAGGCAAGAGAAAAAAAGTCAGATCTAAATTGTTTTCTCTCTTCTGTTTTTTGTTTTTGCCAGGACAATTTTTTTAAGGTGGACCTACAGATCCACTTGCTTTCATGGGCTTCCCTTATTTTACTTGGGGAAAAAAATCAAAGATATAAGGAAACTAAGGCTCTGTGTTTTTTTCTTTCAGTATCTGTCCTCCAGAGCTTCAAAAGGAGTTTATCCTCCTGTCTTGGCACATACTGACACATTCAGGTAATATCTTGAACCCCTTTATAAAATTGTGCACAAGCTCTTACAAAACATTGCAAAAGTAATTTTCTGGCGATACTTAGGCCCTTTCTTTTTCCCTTTGCTTATGGATAACTAATAATCACAAATATTTGGGTTTTAATATTATTAAACCACCATTTCAGTTGGAAATAAATGAGTGAGCCCAGCGGATAATATTTCCTTAAAATGTTACAAATTATGCAACTCTGGTTCTCTGTATTCAAATGACTTTGCTGAAGGCTCAGGGGAAATATAAAACTGTTTTAAGTGTATATTGTATAGGGAAGTTAGATTGCGATCATGTTTACTGTGTTGAGCAATATCTTCTAGTGAGGGCTTTCATTGGGGCTCTCGCTGTGGTTTCTGGAAGAGCTCTTAATCTGCTGAATTTGAGAAGTCTTCCTGCTTGGTAATCAGACCGGAGCTGCTCCTTCCTAGCTAGCCCAACCTCTGGCTGCCTGCTGTCTGACCACTGGGCCACACACCCGCACGTTTGATGCTAAAAACTCTGCAGAGGAGCTCAGAAATTACACTCAATAAATACAGAAATCAAATCAAACAATTTCCAAATATTAGCCTTGCTATTTACTTTCCGGCAGTCATATAAAACCGTCTTTGTTGTTCATAGTAAATAGGTTTCCCTCCGCCTTGCCAATTTAAACAGTCACGTTGGGTCAATGACAGAGTGGCTCGGCCTCATTCAACTCAGTGTTGATTTGCTGAGACAGGATCCAGACCAGAGAGCGGTTTGGGTCCGCTCAGAGTCCTGAAACTGTCTCATTGGGGCCAACACTTCATACATGCTGGCTGTACAGACTCTCAATGCTCTCTGAGTTATAGACTCATTAACAACTTCTACTGTATATGTTCAACTTACAGCACTTGTGACTATTCGGACAAATAAAATAAGAAATTATATAAAAATTGTTCTTGTAACTCATCTTACTATCAGTCTTCCAATGCAAATCCTAAGACCAGGGTGCAGGATCATTCAAATGTCCGTAGAAATGCAGTCGCTAAAAGGCAATTCTGGTTAAATCACATCTGTTTCTTAATTTGCTTATTTGCCTAATGTGCATTAAATTATGAAAAACAAACCCAAAAGCAAGAGCACTGCTAGTACGATAGCTTTCACTAAGCCAAGCCATTGTAAGAACTATGTTTAAAAGCGCCATCTTTTGCGAAACCAGTGGGTTTTCAGTCTGTGACTTAAGATGTGTTGATTTGTTGCTGTCCTGACTTTTACCAATCCTTTCTGTGCAGCTTTGTAGAACTCTAGCTTGCCGATAGTCTAGTGTTATTGTAAGAGTTTTCCTTTCTGTCTTTTGAAACAAAGAAATCCAGTTTGGTATGTGCATGATATCAGTTGGCTATTGGCTATTGAACATTGTTGGTATAGTACGTTTTGGCCAGTAAGAAAATATAATGTCAATAACAATTGGTTGGTTTGATGAGTGCAAATTGAAATCAGCCTGTGTTGCTGCAGCCTGGTGGTTCCGGTTGGTGTCATTTCCCACACAGTTTGCTCTCACACATGGCTTTAAGCAATACCCTCTAATCCCAGGTGATTTAATCCCAGATGTAATACCTCTTCTAATTTCAGCAATTCAGTGTAAAGGAGCGGTTTGTAGTATGGAATCTATTCCAGCTGCACACAACTACTAACACATTCTGAATCACATAAACATCTAGTCCCAATGGGAGATCTTCGCCAGCCAACTTTGTGGTATAGATAAATTAAGAGAAAATGGACCTTTATTAATCCCGTGGGGAAATTCAGGATCCTTGATGCTAAAAATTCAAGTTATTTCAACTTTGACCTTCGTTGCCTCCAACCTTTCAATGGGCAACTACTAAGATAACAGCTGTATGTGAGGTAGCCATTTGTATACTCCTACTTGGTGCTCTACCTCTGCTAGTGACTGTACCATAAACTCCTCCATTGGACTCCTTTGTTTACTTCTGCAACATAATGACATCAATATGTAACACTCACACTATTGGTTAGCGCTATAACACATTGTATGCTAAGGGGCAAGACATCTCTAAGTGGTGGACCAATCACAACAGAGCCAGACAGCTAACCAATCAGAGCAGACTAGGCTCTGGTTTCAGACAGAGGGTGAAAAGAGGTGCTGCAGCACAGGCAGTATGATAAAAATAAATGTTTGAACATTAAAGCATGGAGACATGTCACGGTAGAGGCCCACATACAAATATGGGGTAAATGCCAAACCTTTGAGATTGTGTTAGTAATTCATCTTCACAATATACTCACAATCCCCCTTAAATGTTGGTGTCGAAGGCTTTAGTGGCATATTTACTTAAAGTAACAATGTATCACACAACTGGTGTCAGATTGATACAGGGTGAATGCATGTGGAAACACTTATATAATGGCTAACCGAACTCTAGTTGTCCCTTACTGTCTCAGAGAAAGGGTAGTGTTGGTGTGGGAGGGAATGTGTAGGGGGTTTAGGGTTGGGGGATAGGAGATTGCTTGAAGGACCCTAAGGATAGTGGCCTTAGATCTACTTATCATCGCTTCACAACAAAAGGATGATATCACTTTGCTGAAAGCACAGTTTTTCAATGAGAGCGGGGAAAAACAATGTTAAAGAATTCAATATAATATCATTTAGTAGATGAAAGGCTAGAGATGCTTCTCTGAGATAAAGCTCTGCAGTGAGCATAGAGCAGGATGTGCTGTACATGGGGGGTTCTGTACTTCATGATGTGGGTGCTTGACTTACTTTGACTTCTCTATAGTGTTCCTCGATCTTTCGCTCACCTTTGTCTTAAGCACTACTGTAAAGACGAGTGCTTTCCAATACTTCAGTAGGTCAATGTTCCTGTGGGGTGAGGACCCTCAGGGGACATCAAGACTTTATAGGGGGCCACATATTCCAGGGAAAAATGTAGTTGTGAAAAATGTGGAGTGGAACTAAGATAGAAATGGCTACTCCCACTTCACAATACTTTCAAGTTTCAGGTCGGCAAGATGCAAAAAAAGAAACACTAATATACATTTATATAAGAAATGTGTAAAAATAAATCTGATTAATCTGAGTTCTATTTGTTTCCATTGTGATATGTTAGCTATCAACAATTAGGGAGATAGCAAAAAAACTGTTCTGGTCATTCTGGAATATTTAGTTCTGCAGTTTTATACTTTGAATTGATGAGGTTTTTACGATCTGTTGGGGATTTTTAGTCAAAAATACCAAGAAAACATGCTAAAAGTGCTTTAAAAATACTTCTCCAGTCGAAGTAGAGTTTGTAGAGAGTGTGTTCGGGTGTCCTTGACAGGGAATTGTCTGGGAGTAGTTGTGGTTTGGAGTGTTATTTTATTGCATTGGCCCAGTGGAGCTTAAGCCTCTCTTGCCTGTTATAAGAATCCTACTGTACATGCCGCATGATTACAGTTGGGAAACAAGACATTTTTACCCCATAGTGTTACTTTGTTTCAGTCCGTTATCACTTTTCCTCACAACTGAAACATGACAATGGCAGACTGCAAAATATGACATAATGAGTCGGTATTGAAAGTTCAGCCGAAGACCAATTAGTGTTTTTATGAAAGGACCAGAGAGAGTACGGAAGCCATATTTTACAGGGCAGCTTGTGTTTCCATCTGTGTTGCAGGCATGACATCAGTGTCTCTGTGTTGAGACAGGAAAATCTTATCCCACTGTCATAAAAACAACACAATAATGAAATGACATCACAGTGGGACGGTAATTAAATGTGTAGACTGCTGTCTTGGAGTTTTTACAAGGCTGGGAGGTCGAGAGTTGCAGTGCAGCATACTGGAGAACAGTGTGTCAGTGAAGGCAGCCCTGAAGCTTCAGGCTTGTTGAGTACCAAATTAATTTCATTTATTAGCATGATGATTTCATTAGAATGCTTTTTTTTATTGTCAAGAAATGATGCCTCGACATAGACCAGGGTTGCCTTTACCCTGGTACACGTGTCTCGAAAGATTTCAATGTCCCGGACAAATAGAAGAAATTACAATCAAGTATCATCTTTCTTAATTGGGCTTGATTAAATATACTTTATGAAGAATGGCTACTTTTGCTTATGTTTTTGGATGTGTTCATGCAATTTCTATCCTAGGTGTGCATGAGCCTTTTCACACAAATAAGTCTTTTGTTTGTTTTTAGTTTTTATCAAACATCCGCCAATCAGCCCCCTTTGCAGTTTACTTTTTAGAGCCTCTGACATTTTCAAATTGACCAATCAGAATCAAGTCACTAAGCTATGTAGTAGTCTTGTAACCTTACCTTGTCAGCTAAGTGTTTTTGCTGAAGTTAAACAAAAAAAAGTGCCAGGCAGCAGGTAGTATCTACATATTTCCCCAATGAAAAACCAAACAAGAGCAAGTAAACACTAGTGGAATGCAGCTTCCACTGGCAGAAGAAGAAAACTTGCCAATAGCTCATTTTCATGTTGTGCCTTTGCCTCACACAGCCATACACCATATGTCAGGTGTAGCCAGTAAACAGATACATCCTAGTGCACATCTTCTGTTTCATATTCAATGTGGCCAAAGCGGTAATTACTCATCTCCTTACTGAAACTCATTCTTCACAGTCCCACAGCTTCTAGGCTTGCCAACTGACCAGGGGAAACAAGTCGTGTAATGACAGATGAGTCTTTAAGCCATCCAATCTCCGTGGCCTTCAGCCTGGCTTTAAATGGCTGCACTGCTGGTGGAGGGAGATGAGTTTAATTATTAGAAAGTCATTAGCTCAGTGACCTGCAGGCAGCAGGGGCCAGGCGTCGATACTCAAGCTGCTTGATACCAGAGACTAGCCTGTCTGACTGGGTGATGGATTCATCACAGTCCGTGCTCCTGCCGCGCTCTGGCATCAGACACCAGCAGGACATTGTTTCCTTGCTCCTGCCTTGCTATAAAGGACATAATAAGCCATAGAAAAGGGTGAAGGAGAACAATGTAAGATCAACTCTCAGAGTTA